AATGACAAGACTAAATAGTTCGGCGAGCTGTTAAAATTTTCTGCCAGTTCTATCCATTATGACGTCATTGTTATGGCTCCACCCATCATCTGTTAAGCGACTGTGCAGAGCATGTTCATCTCAGAGAAATGTCAAATGGGAATCATCTTTTTAATTCATTCTTATTAGGCCGTCTGTCGTAAGTTAAGATTATAAGTAAAAATAATTCATGCACTAAATCCTGCGTTTGAATGAATTCCGCTTGACTTCATACTCGCACATACCTTATAAACGTAAATAATGGCTATGGATGCGCATTATGGTATTTCATATGCAAAAAGGTAATAAAATATTTAGATGAATGAACAGCATTTATTCACATACGGACATTTTGTAAAAGTCATGCCCATTTTTTAAAGAATGTCATTTTCTAAAGGATATGTCCATTTCTTAAGGGATATGTCCATTTTTTTAAAGGACATGTCCATTGTTAAGGACATACCCATTATTTATGAATTACTCTTTATGTATAAATGTACAGTATGCAAGTTGGTATGTTCATCTACATCTTTTGTGAAGTAACGTATCTAATATTTATTAAGATGTGTTCCTATACCATTCTCACACATGTAATGAAACAATAACAACAACTTCCTCATAGCATTTATTCACATACGGACATTTTGTAAAAGTCATGCCCATTTTTTAAAGAATGTCATTTTCTAAAGGATATGTCCATTTCTTAAGGGATATGTCCATTTTTTTAAAGGACATGTCCATTGTTAAGGATATACCCATTATTTATGAATTACTCTTTATGTATAAATGTACAGTATGCAAGTTGGTATGTTCATCTACATCTTTTGTGAAGTAACGTCTCTAATATTTATTAAGATGTGTTCCTATACCATTCTCACACATGTAATGAAACAATAACAACAACTTCCTCATAGTGCAGTCCATCGGACGTGTCCATTTTTAAAAATGACTCAGTGTCCAGTTTTTGTTTGAACAACATCCTCACAGTGCATTTTCTTACGCGAGGACGTGTCCATTTTTTAAGATTACTCTGTGTATAAATGTACAGTGTATAAGTGTGCACATATGATACTCATAATCTATGGAAGTTCACTTAAGTAAGATAATAAAACAATGTCACAGTGCAATCAGCTAGCACCAATTATACCATGTCCAATTTTTACATTACGACATGTCCATTTTTAAAGGATTTGTCCATTTTTTTAAAGGACAGGTCCATTTTCTACAGAACATGTCCGTTTTCAAAGGTCAGGCCCATGTTTTAATGAACATGTCCATTGTTTAAAAGTCATGCCCATGTTTTAATGCACATGTCCATGTTTAAAGGTCATGTAACTTTTGAAATACGCGAGGACGTGTCCATTTTTTAAGATTACTCTGTGTATAAATGTACAGTGTATAAGTGTGCACATATGATACTCATAATCTATGGAAGTTCACTTAAGTAAGATAATAAAACAATGTCACAGTGCAATCAGCTAGCAATGATTATACCATGTCCGCTTTTAACATTCGGACATGTCTATTTTGTAAAGAACATGTCCATTTTTTAAAAACATGTCCATTGTTTAAAAAAAAAACATGTCCATTTTTTAAAGGACATGTCCATTGTTTAAAAAAAAAACATGTCCATTTTTTAAAGAACATGTCCATTTTTTAAAGGACATGTCCATTGTTTAAAAAAAAAACATGTCCATTTTTTAAAGAACATGTCCATTGTTTAAAAAAAAAACATGTCCATTTTTTAAAGAATGTCATTTTCTAAAGGATATGTCCATTTTTTAAAGGACATGTCCATTGTTTAAAAAAAAAACATGTCCATTTTTTAAAGGACATGTCCATATTACCATTTCTGTACAAATGTACAGTATACAAGACAGTATGTGTGCAGATGTGATATTAATAATCTACGGAAGTTCATTTAAGTAAAACAATAAAACGTCATAGTGCAATCAGCTAGCAATAATTATACCATGTCCGATTTTCACATAAGGCCATTTTTAAACGACTTGTCAATCTTTTTAAAGAACATGTCCATTTTTTAAAGAACATGTCCATCTTTCAATGGACATGGCCATTTTTAGAAGGGCATGTCCATTTTTTAAAGGACATGACCTTTTTTTAAATGGCATGTCCATTGTTTAAAAAAAAAACATGTCCATTTTTTAAAGAACATGTTCATGTTCTTTAAGAACTTGTCCATCTTTTAATGTACATATCCATTTTTTGAAGAGCATGTCCATTCTTTTAAAGGACATGTCAGTTTTTTAAAGGTCATATCCATGTTCATTTTTTTCAAAGGACATATAAATTTTCAAAAATTACTATTTGTGTATAAATCTACAGTATACAAGACAGTATGTGTGTATATGTGATATTAATAATCTATGTAAGTCCATTTAAGTAAAATAATAAAACAACGTCACAGTGTAATGAGTCAGCAATAATTATTCCATGTCTAAATTTCACATTAGAGCTTGTCCATTTTATAAAGGACTTGTCCATTTTTTAAGGTCCATATTTTAAAGGACATGTCCATTTTTTTTTTTCTTTTTATAAATCATACCAACTTGCATGTACAATATGCAAGTTGGTATATTGATCTTCATGTTTTGTGAAATAAAAGTATCTAATATTTCTAAATATGTATTCCTACAAAATTCTCACTCCACGTCGTGTGCATTTTTGTTTAGTAATAAAACAACTATAGGCCTCTTCTGTAACGCTAATCCAGTAACGTCAATGACAAGACTAAATAGTT